AATTGAAAATATAATAAAAATGACAAACATTAAAGTAAATAATGAAAATGAATCTATTAAATATAATAAAATGTCAAATAAATAAAAGAAAATACTAAACGTTACATTAAAATGAAAGTAAATGATATAATATAAAGAAGAATAGAGTGTAATTCAATAATAAAGAAAATCAAATGGAAAATAATATATGTTTTATGTATAACTAACGTAATGTAAAGAACAAAATCTTAGAACTTAATCATAATGACAGAAGATCTACTTTGTTTGTCTTCCAATGAAAACCACTAAAAAAATTGGAACAAAAACACTAATTTATATAAAAATGGCTCAAAATTATCATAATTGATTAAAAAAAAGTTGTTAATCAAGTTAGGATAGTATGAAGGGAAAAGATTAAATAGAACTTATTAGAAGTTAGAAAATAAATAAAACTATAGATACGATGAATAAATAAATAGAATAGCCACGTCATATTTAAAATTATTATATTTTTTAAATATGTTTGTTTCCTGTTTTCAGATTTTTACTGACTTATTTTTATATGCCTAAGAATTTATTAATCGAATCAACTATTTTTGAAAAACATTTCATTTCCTACCAACAGAAAATGAACAACCTATCGACAAAATTATTGGGCAAAAATAGGTTAGCTTGTCATGGATGAAAGTTGCTAGTAAAGTACTTCAAATTTTATTAAGAATAGAAGGAATTAACCAAATAACATTTATAAGTTTATGATTACAAAAATAAATTAAGTTATGATTTAAAAAGACTTTCAGACTATTTATTAATAAAATGGGAAATCATCAATCAATAAAAACAAACTCTCCAACAAAAGGGTCTTTGAGTAAACCTTCAGACTGTTTAAATGGATATGAACCAATATGCGTTTCTTTAGAAAGACTAACTCCAAATAAATTAACAGTAGAACCAGTACAAACCCACACTCAAACCTCAAATCTCTCAAAAGAAAAGAAATTAAAGCATCTTTCAGAATGGAAAGAATTTAAATATATGCACCGTTTTAGTCAAACTTTTCAAGAAAACAAAAGACCGACTTCTGCTCCATTAGAACCTAATAACCAAGATATTGAAGAATTTTATAAACAAAGTCCTTTTGAAGACCTTAACACTCAATTAGTTATAAACTGTTTGAAAAAAACAGCTCAAACAACTGGCTTTGAAGTTATATATGATAGTTTATTACAAGAATTAGATTCCAGAAATATTAAGAGTGCTATTGAATATAAGACAAAAATACTCTTTGTATTCGAGACTAAATCTGGAGTTGTTGGCTTTTATCAAGAAGATATGATTCCAATGCTTCAATTCAATAAAACAAATATTGTTTCTTCTAATAATATGTGGGTTTTCACTGTTAATAAAAATTCAAGTACTTCTGTATTTCAAAGAAATACTGAATCTAAATCTTCATTCTCGTTATACTGCAATGATTCACATGTAGTTTTGAACTGTTATTGTGCTTTTTGGATGAATGATATGGGACTTATTCAATTTAATCCGTTGATGAAGTCTTCATATACTCAAGGAAACTCAACAGTTACTCCATTACAATTCCAATTTAATTGTACTAAGATACGATGTGAGAGACTTTGTATACTTCAATGCAAAGATTAAAAATGTTAATAATTTTGTTATTTTTCAATTTTACGATTTATTTTTAATTAAAATAAAACAAAAAATAAATTTGTTTTTAATTAAACAAACTCTGGAAATAAATAAATTAAGGTTGATACACTGTTGTTAAAAATATGTTACTTAAAAGTTAGTTATCATCATCAGAGTTAGTGTCTTTTACTTTTTTTGGTGTAACATAAATTGAGGTGATATAACGAGAAGACCGTGGAGAAAAATACCCTCCCTCATTATTTGAGCTAAACGTTTTTTCATCACTTAAAGGTAATGCCCCAAAAGTCTAATGTATTAAATACTTTCTATTAAAATTTTTAAAAACAACAAACCAATGGAGAAACACTTGACTGGGGATTATCCCACCTATCATAAATATGGTAATACTTGTGAATATCATCCAAAGAATATATCCTTGGGCATCTTAACTCCTCCCTTCTCAATACAATTTCACCACAAAGTAAAGAATATGACCATTTTAATGTCCGAGGCCGTACAAGAGTAATTGTCCCCTTCCAGATATGACCACTGGTCCATGTCAGTTTTCTATATATTAGAAATACTCTAAAGTAAAATAGCTTAAAGAAAAAAACAAACTTACAAGTGTAGTCATCCAAATTTACATAAAGTTCTTGACCATATTGCGTAATGTAATGAATAGAAAAGGAAATGACGATAGCATTTTCTTGAGGATTTTGTATTGGAACCTTTTCTTTGGTGTACGGCATAACGAACGATAGACTAATTTCCAGATTAACCAGTTCATGCAAAGTCATAATCTGTTTTCATTTTTGTCGAGGATCTTCGGTCCTTTGTTTAGATATATTCTCCCAAAATTCTGAGTTTCAAAGTCCACCTCGAAACTATTAACAAACTAATCTTTTATTATTTAATATAATACTTTTCGTCTTATATATCTTTTACTCCTTCTCATTTTTTTCTTTCATTTTACTTACAAACAACTTGACCTTAACCTAAATTTGACTTATAAACTACTCAACTTTACAAAATAGAAAAAATTATAGTTTTGTTAATTAAACACATTTTCAATAATTCTTTTTATTAAAATGGTATATATACCAAAAAAAGTTATTATTGAAAAAGTTCATTATTTGCATCTTTCATTGTTTTTCAGATTTTTAACTAAGAATTAAAAAGTATTAATCGGTAGATGTCATTAGTTTGTACTTCTTTATAAATATTATTCATTACTCCAAAACTTTGTTAACTAACTTTTTAGTTATCTCCACAACCAATTTCACCACGTTTAACTGGATTAATGGCAAAAATTAAACCAACTGGAGACATGGTTTTAGTCCAACATTATACCACCCAAACTGTCAATGGAATTATTCTAGCTGAACAAAAGAATGATAAGTTTCAACAAGGAATGGTTGTAAGTATTAATACAGATAATAACCCAATGAAATTAAAAATTGGGAATCATGTCATATTTGGTGGGTCTCCAGCAGCAACATTTATAGCTGATAAAAAGAGTTACTCTTTATTAAAACAACATGACATTTTTGCAAAAATCGAATAACATAAAATTCCTTTATTCCTCTTCTTTATTTAAACTTTTTATATTAAAAACTTAATAATTTCTCTTATTGAATGGCTCCTAAAAGTAAAAAACTTAAACAATCACCTCCATCAAAAGAACCTGTTGTCGACGATGGTTTTTCTTTTATTAAACAACATAACTCAGATGTTATTATTGAAGTAGAAATTAAACCCAATGCTAAAACTAGTGAAATTCAAGGAGTTGAAGATGGTTTATTAAAAGTATCTATTAACTCACCCCCAGTCGATGGAAAAGCCAACACTGAAGTTATTGCTTTTATGGCATCTACATTTGGAATAAAAAAGTCTAATGTAAGGCTTATTAAAGGACAAACCTCTCATCATAAAACTCTTCAATTTGAAAATTGGACAAGAGAAAAAGTACTTCAGATTATTCAAGCCAAATAATTTAACTAAATTTAATCCCTTTTTTCTTTAGTTTCTTCACTTAATTCATCGTTTTTATTTAATGGACTTTCTTCTTTATTTTCTTCTTTTTGTTGTTCTTCTTTTGCTTTTTTTAATGCTTCACAAAGTTCTGGGTTAGTATCAAGTTGGTAAAATACCCTATAAAAATAAGATTTGTCCAGAATAACAAAATAACTTCTTTAAACAAACCAACATATAGCACCATATGCCCCACATGTCAAAAACATTAACACAACAAAATGAATTGATGCAGACGGTATTGTAAAGAAGAAATATATTTCAAAAAATAGTGCAGCAGCAAATGACACATGAACCGTTAACCTAGAGGATGAACTAACTCTTTGATTGATTATGTCTTCAAAAAGGTTTTGGATAAAATTCATTAAACTGTTTTAGATAAAGTTCTTTTTTTAAATAATAATTTAATTTGTAAAAATGGAAACGAAGTAATTTATTTTATTTAAGTTCGGGTGGTGCGTCTGGTCTATGTATTGATGCATCTTCGGCTACAGTTAATAATCCTACAGCACCACTTGATGCCGTAGGTCCGGCAATATACCCAGAAATAGGTGAGGCTCCAGAAAGGAAAAGTCCATGTTTTTGAGTGGAATATTGTTGCCATTCTGGATGTTCATTCAGTACAACGTCCAGATTTGCTGCGTGAGAAGAGTCTTGTAAAGCATTCTGTAAAGCGTCAACTATCAATGCTTTGACCTCTGGTGCTGATGATCCAAGAGTGTCATCTAATGAACCTTTCAATACTGTAAAGATAGCACTTTGGACGTTTTCGTTGCAAAGTTTTGGGACATAACATAATACTCCTTTACATCCAACTCCAGATGTCATTGACCTAAAAACATTAGCTACAATTTGTGCGTGTTCAGGTATTTTAGTTAAACAAAGGACGATTAATGGAACTGCGTTATTATCTATTAACCGTTCTTTACACAATGAATTTGTAACAATAACTTGTAGAATTATAAACAATGTCTCATCTGGTAGTGTTTGTAGTAATTCTACGACTTTAGATAAATGACCTGATGTAGCTATATAATCTAAACATTGTGGCTGATTAGTATAAAATACTGCAATTGTCTTAGCAAGTGCATTCATTACAGTAACATCTCGTTGTCTGGCAGCTTCTTGATACTTATTAAATAATCCATCACTAAATGCATTTGGATTATTAAGTGGACATGTAGGATTTTGGTTGAAGATTCGAATAAATACACCTCCAATAAATAATTCATTTTCAAGTTCTTTATATTTAAATGCAAAAGTATCTGGAACTTGCCATTTAACCATTGGGTTAGAAAGTTGTTTTTCATGGAATGACTCAGTCATTTTATTAATGAAATCTCCAACACCATTTTTCATTTCCGAATTCCAAATTAATTCGGGTGTTTCTGTAGTTGAATCTAGTAAAATA